TATGGGTTGGCGCGTCTGGAATATATATATAACTCTCTTACTTCGACGCATTACTTTATATATGAAAGAACCGTAAAAGATGATTTAGTCGAAATTACAGACGCTTAGATTACGTCGATTACTTTTCGGTCCTCCGATGTTGAGTATCAACCCAGCAAGGCGCCCGCAACCTTGTTGACTTTATCGCTAAAATTTTTGATGTGTTCATCGAATGTAGCTTGGTGTCAAACAGGAAGCCGTGAAGCTAGGGGCGATGGTTTTTTTTCTACTTGCAACCAAAGGAACTTAGGATCAGCAGTTGGCAGATCCAGGCTGTGAATGGTCGCTTGCATAATAATGGTGGCCTGGTTAGTGTCCTCCCGTCAGTCGTTCAATTTTTTACCGACCACAATTAGCGCGATTTCATCCGCAAATCCGACAACTGATACTTTGTTTTCGATCGAGCCTCATAATCTTATTGTATATAACATTCCAGAAAACGGGGCCAAGTATGAATCCTTGGGCATGCCCACCATGATGTCGCGAGTCTCTGGACAATCATCCGTGAAAAATTCCAGCACCTTGAGGCTGAAATGGCTGGCGATGATCCGGAGTAGGTATACTGTAACCCCCGTTATCCATCGCGCTTTATTAAATACGTTCTTTACGTAGTCCTAGGTGGTGCTAACGCAGTACTTTTTGGTGTCACTATACCAAATCTTGACCCTGATGGCCCTTTCAGCGATTCTTAGGCGGCATTTCTGGATGGCGTCGACTGTTGAACAGCCTGTGTGGAATCCCAACTGCAAGTTCGCCAGACCTGTGGGGTCCTCAGCCTTTCAGGTGACCAGCTATAATTTGCTCAAAAATCTTTTCCATGGTTCTGAGCGTACCGTCGCTCCAACGCAGGAAGGTATCGCTTTTTAGAATCAAGACCACCATTTTTAGACATGGAGACTCTCCCGAGCACAGACATAAGCTAATGAGCCAGACGCCACTTTAGTAATTAAGCAGTCGCTGTCGATATCTGAGCGTTTCACTTGCGATGTACAGGTTTGTGGTGACTCAGGTGCCTCTCCAGGTCATGAAAAATTGTCACATTGGTCCTCATCTCCATAGCCGAATGATACGTTTTGGGTGACCCCTCAGTAGTTGGAGAATTAGAATCATCGTGAATCTCGGAGGTGCTTTTTTCGCGAGCGTAATAGTAGCTCAGACTAATAGAAGTGTGGGCTTTGGTCGTACTTCCTTGTCACTGGAGACAAGGAGACGAGTTTTGATAGGACTTTGCCAGATGTCCCATCTGACCACTCAATGGCATCACTTGAGGTACGGTCGGGACTCTCCCATTGCGCAGCCACTTGTCCAAAAGTGCGTTTGGCCGAGATCAAAGTGTAGGAAATTGTGACTTTAGGTAACTGTCTCAGATGCAATATACTCTTAGCACATTTTTTATAAACTCATACTAAACATTAATAACACATGCACACAAAAAAACTTGAAAGTTCAATTCCAGACACCGGACCAAATACTACTCGCTGCGTTCGTGCCTTAACCTCACTTCGCGGTGCCAGGAAGTGCTACTCGTGACTCGAAAAAGGGGGCATAAATGGGAACTTAGCACAATACTATAAAATTGCGTATTGCGTACCTGCTATCAGCTATTTTCAAAGGTCTCTGAAATTCTTAAGAAAAATGTAAAAACGCTTCAAATTCGGGCCTCAAAAAATAGCTTATAGTATACATCCAAAATTCTGCAAAAATTCAGACGTATTCTTTGACTAATTCTAAGACTTGTACATTTTGCAATTTTTCGTTTAAGCTTACAAGTTAGAAAATGACAAAGATTTTTTAATAAATTAGAAAATGACTTTTCAAACGGGCTTTAAGGCCCATTGGATGAAACTAAACATAGGAGGTTTCATTATTAAGTACCAGGAGAGTTGAAAAAAATTTTCAGGACATTTGGTGACCCGCATCTCATGTGGTCCCCTTGGTAGTAAAGTTCGTTATATTATATAAGAATTTTTTAATCTCTGAGATCAAAATCACTACTATAATAGTATTACTGAGCTTTATAGTACAAAGGGCTTATAATATCATTTACATTGCACAAGTGTCGATTTAGCTGTCAATCAGTGAATACATCTCGATTGAATATAATTTTTATTGGTATTTATCGTTCAGCGATACTTGATCCATTGGTATTTATAGGTCTTATTGTTATGTCTGTACAAGTGACTGTGACGAAGAATGAATGTGTTGATCTTAGGATCGAATATGTCACGACTACTGAGCCACTTTACTGCAATATACGAATATCCGTCTTGATTTAATATCTCTTTTTCATTTCATATTAGCCAAGCCATGTAGCCGCATAATTGATTATTTTCAATAAATTATTGATCCATTTTTTCCTATAATTTTAACAATAATTTTACTAAGAAACTCAATTATATGTATTTTTTACTCTTATAACGATTTTGTCATAAGCTGAAAGTAAACAACTTGAAAGTTGTAAATATAATTAGAAATTTAATAAATGTGATAAACTGTAAAAATAATTAGAATTTGAATGAAAATTTAAAAAATTCAGCAGTTCTCGCACTTGCTTCTATATTACGGACAAAAAATGACGTACACATTATACACTTATGTCATATATATCAGGTGCTGACATTGAAGTGAGTGTTATATAGATGTCTTCGACTAAGAGCTGTTGAGTTAGAAAACTTATAGAGATAAGATTCATCTAACCATCTTGAATCGAATATAGCGGCTACGCGTGTAACTGGACTTGCAAAATTGACTAGTTTCTAAGCAATTCTTTTTCTCGATTGAATTCAAGTGAATTTGAAACTAAAAATGATTTAATGTGAAAAAATTCGTAAGTTAGCTCGAATAATCGCTTTTGTTCGTTTGAATGTTCTCGTTAAACCATAAAACTGATCGACGTCGGCATTCACAGGGTCGTTTAAAAAGAATATATAAAAAAAAATAATAATAAAAATAATTGTGCGCACGAGCTTTATACAGGTCTATCTGGTCCGCATCATCTTGGCTGCCATTTATGGCGCCTTGCGGATTCCATTGGTCGAGCGCCATATCATACATTGCCTTGGTTGCAAAAATTCATGTTCTCAGGTTTGTTGCATTACTCTGATTATGAACTCTTTGCATTTTTGAAAAAGCTTTGGGACCTTCATGACTTTCATGAATACATTGTAAATCTTACAATGTAACGCTAGCACTGATCAATAGAAATATGACGGAATAATCATTGAATCGAGGTGGTTCATTTGAAAACAGTCATTAAGAAAGCGGCAAAAATGAGCTGTTTTGCTGCTTGCAGCAAGTCGTTGCACCGGTTAAAAATGTCGAAGTCTATCCCGTAGCTAAATTAGCCAACTCTTTGTACGTGTATATAGTAAACATATAATGTAATATCATAATTTGCAGCGTACGTGACATGCGCAGTCAGTGCATACCGTTATTTAAAAAAAATCTAGACGTAGATTTCGCATCGTATAATAGCTAAATACGATTGGTGCAGTCTTTACAATCGGTTGCTATCCGCTACGTTATAATAATTTCTCCAAGAAGCTCAAAAAACCTCAGGACATGAGCAAAGTTCGACTTTTTAGTTTTATTCATTAATATGAGAGGAATTTTGATTTGCTTGATTTGACTGTTAGTACGTAGCCAGAGTTCAACAATTTATGACAGTCTTATAAAGTCTTGTCGTGTAATCACCGAAGAACATGCAGGATGTTGGTAGTTTTCAAACAAATTATTTTTACCCCGAATTAAATTAAACGAGTATTATTACAAATCTTGTACGTCAAGTGCAAAGGCACACGCTAGATTACGCGAGCAGCACATCTTCGTTTTTCATTGAACGCACGTTTTAACGGTGAATTGTATAAGTTTGTGTAAAAAGAAATATTTAATTTTAAATGGAATCGAGAGTCACGCGAATCGCTATATATCTTTTTAGAGCGAGCACGAGTTCAAATATTTTGTTTTGGTCGCTGGAATTGAAATAAAACATTGCGCGCGAGCTACTGCTACTGCTTATACGAATGATGATTGTGTATTTTCATAACTCACGTTTATACCGTACACGTTGCAGTATATGAAAAACATAAAATAATTGAAATGCCAAAATTGCCTGCGGTTGATTAATCGAAAAGTTACGCAATGCACGAAAAATAAAGCTGCGCGACAGCAATACAAATTATACGCGTAGTGTGCAATACGTTCAGGAAATGAATCTTACGTATTGGAATTTGACAGGTCAAATGCGAACAGCAGAAACGACGTTTATGGTATTGATAAGTAGGGTTTTTCGTCGAAACACTAACGTACTTTGATGGTCCTTCTCTGCTGTCGCTTGGAAACTTACATTAAATGAGGTACGAAAAATACCTGCCAAATGAATGATTGCTTCTCAATTTTTAATATAGGAAAGATGAAGTAGCTTTTCAATCATAGAAATACTAATGCCGTTTGTGTAAAAAATTGATGGCTAAGTTTCAGTTATTTTTTGTGTAAAAATGGCACCGAAAAATAAATTGAATGTAATGATGCCGTCATTATTGGCAAAATTAAATGATTTTGGGTATTTATTGTATAGAAACACGACTAATGTATAGGAAGTATTGCACTCAGGCAATGAAAAAAGAATAAGAAGCCCGAGAGATGATACGTTTTTTTATATCGTGAATATCACGTTTTCAAGAAAAAGAAGTTCGTGTAAAAAGAAGCGTAAGTAGAACCGTAACAGCAAATCCATAATAAGCATGATTTCATGCAACAATGGAATATCTCAAAGAATATAACGAACAAGTTGTATAAAAAAAGAAGACAAGAAAAAACTAGTGTATAGCCGTATAAGCAGGGAGGGTGTGAGAGAAGAACGAACGAAGAGAAGAAGCGTAGAAGTAAGAGGGAGGGAAAGAAAGAGAGAGAGAGAGAGAGAGAGAGAGAGAGAGAGAAGGAAAAAAAAGAGATGAACCGACCTGATTTGCCGACCCTGGGGCCGCCGAGGACGACCACCCTGATCCTGTTGACGTTGGTCATTAGCTCGCCGTGTAACACTGCATTAAAAGGTAAAAGAGCTGCTGCTAGAGACGAGATCTGAATTAGGTCTGTGTGCAGTAAATTATTGAAAAAAAATATTAATGTATCGGCGTGGGCACAGACACGCACACACACTGTTTAGCTAAAGCTAATGATTTAGCTGGATGTCACACACGCGCACAATGCTACAGTGATTACGCGACGACTAGGTGTCATCGTCGGGTCGACGACTCATCATCTTGTCGTTCATCGTCTTTTTCTTCTATTTTCTAGCTCTGCTCGTCGCAACAGTCTTCAGCTCGCGAGAGCAGCAGCTCAAATGAGAAAATGAGCAGGAGAACCGATTCGTTTCTTGAATGGAAATTTAAATTCACACTTCATATGCTCTATAATAGGACTGACACATAGTAAGATAATTGGCAACACTTCACTTTGTTCCGAACAAATGCAATAAATGCACAAAGTTTAAATACACAAGAGAAAATATTTGAAAAAGCAATGACCGGCGAAAAGATTGAACGATACTGGCATAAAGTATAACGACGAAGGGATAATACGGCCAAGAACGAAGAAAGATAGTACGGTTTGTCTGAGCGTCGGCGCGCGACTGACTTGAGTTGAAAGTCGTCTGACCGTTCTCAGCTGCAATTCGCGGCTATACGTCTTATACTGTTGCTCGCCATGCAGGCCGTGTTACAGCAGCAGCAGCAGCAGAAAATGTGCCGTGCGATTCGACCGCGTGCACTTTCGCCGCCGCCAAATTCCATAGGTGGCAGCAGCTCGCGCAAATATCCCGCCAGCAGAGCCGGGACACGTGTGCTCGATGATCATTCCCGATATGCAGTTGCAACTTGGCGCAGAGAGGGGGGCATAATGCATGCAGCTCCGTGATCCGAGCAGCTTGCACGCATGATTGGCAAAGTTTGTCGACTCCGCGGCTGCAAACGTTGCCACTGCACTGTCATTCTGATCATCTGGTCGTATCTTTAATCCACAACGGAAATAATCCTTGTTATGTGCAGTAATAACTGTTATTGCATGAACGAGCTCAATCTTTCTTATGTTCAGTGAACATAACATTGTTCACGCGTAATTAATTATATCATTTGGAGAACTTTCCGAAAATCGCTCAAAAATTGCGTGGAAACAGACAAATCAGTGATTTTCGATCGCAATCTTATATATTACGCATTGAAGCTGAAAAGTGCTGTAATAGTACTGTAATAGTTATTGAAATGGCTGTTTTTGGCGATTTTAAGCATTTTGGCCCTTTTTTCGACTTTTTTTGCACGTTTTTCGGCATACATTGATGTCTGCAGTGCGTTGTACTTCAAAACCCATTAAAAAAAAAGTAGTAGTTGACATGTTGAGGAAGCTTTTTGAATAGTTTTGGAGATGAAAGTTCGAATGCAGCTCGATTAGATTTCGAGTTTTTTTTATTTATTTCTCTGCACAAGCCTCCAAAGTGCTCTGATCACTTTGGAATACATTTTTTCTGAAAATTTGGACAATTTCCAACAAAAAAACTCCCTAGCACTTTTACGTTTGAGTCCTGAACTAAGAATTAATTAAATATTTTCGATTTTTAATGAATTTTGGAAAAATGCTGAAATTACCAATTTTGGGCCCCATTTATTTAAAAACATTTTGCGACATTTCTGACATCATAAACAAGTTTTTCGTATTTGCAGAAAAAATTTTTTGGCCATTCGATTTCATTGAAAATCGGCCATGTATATATCATAAGGCCATACAAATAAGAGCACTGTTTATAGCCTGAATGTGAAATTCTTGAGTTTTTAGAAAAATCGACATTGAATTTTTTTTCTACAATTCAATAATCCTTTCATTATTTGTGACAGTTCAACATTCACTTTAACTTTTTTATGAGCTCAACACCACCTCATATCCCAAAAAATGTTGATAACAGTAATTAAATGAATAATAAAACTTCTACGATTTGTTCAGAAGCTTTTCAAAAGTTAAACCATTAACGCCGATGCAGGCCTGTTGGGACCCTTGGAAAAATAATCAACTTTTCAACGGTTTAGTTAATTAGACAAATAATTTTCCGTCTTAGTTTTTCGATACATTTTTGCATCTTATGTTTGAGAATAAACTGTATATTAGATATTAAATTGGCGAAACTATCACAACTATGTATTCTCATCTATCGACTTGACATTTAATAAATATCATAAAAAAAAATATTTTTCGTTTTAAATGTACATAATCTTAATCATCAATTTGAACAATTCTTGTCAATAGCCAACGTAATAAAATCGTTTTCTTTAGTTTACTCCAAGCTGATATTCGTTCATAGCCGTATTACGCAAGAGAGTTGTAGAGAAAATTATATTTTATAGATCAGATTGTTACAAATCTTTAAAATTACTTACGATGGGCATGTGTACATTTTCATTTTCAGCGCTTGATGTACAATTTACCAACTTTGCAATGGAAAGCGTGCCAATATAGTTTATAAATAATTTTCAATTGTTGATTTACTTTACATTGATATAAATAAATGGATTGAAAAATGAACATGTATAGCTTATAGATACCTAGAATTTTATTATTCGTACATATATACATCTAATCTTTAAAAATTAATTACTTATACTTTTTAAATTACATATACCTACGGTTAATTATAGGTTGTGAGATTTTCAAAGATTTCAAAGAACATATTTTCATCTAAACAATTTAGTCATTGAAAAAAAGACTTAAGGTAGAATGAAAAAGTTCCTAAAAGTTCATTCAATTTGTAAAAAATAATTTTGAAAAATGTTGAATTCTATATATTTTCACAATGATGAAACTCATATATACTATTCTAAAAACATCTTACAGTACAATAATAATAGAATGATTACCTATGAATAATAACGTACACGATTTTCGCAATTTCAAATAATTCAATTGAAATTTTAATAACGTTAGTAAATTTTATAAAAAATTGTATCATTTTAGATACTTTTTTTCAAATTTTTTATAAGTTTTAAACATTTTTTTCTGTAACAACATTTCACCGCACTCGAATCTTATTCTTATAATCAGTCTGATATGCTGATAGAATAATGGTGATTGCTAAACACATTGGTTAAACATAATCTATAAAATATTATATTCATCTATTCTATACAGCTTTTTCATATTTTCATATTTTCATATTTTTATATAAATTTATATATAATGTATGTATCCAATGATTTACTGATTGGAACGTAAAATCCTAGAAGCAGGACCTTTGCGGCCATGACTTGCCAAGTGCTTGGAAAACGCCTCAGCTGGTACCAACTTTTTGCATGTTGAACAGTGATACACTAACATACCTGGAATAATAGTTCCATTAAATAATCTAACTACATCAATACTATAAACCCTAAAAATTATCGAATCATTCAAGACTTGAAGAATCAATGTAGAATAGGAAAAGATAAGCGTAAGATTCAGAGAAGCTTATTTCAGACTATCATATGCAATCCTACTTAACAATAAATAAAAAATTTACTATGTAGATAGATTAATTTTCTCGTGTCAATACAAAAAAAAATTTTGAAAGGAAACGAATCTACTACTCACCAAAGAGAAATTAACACTCATGAAATGAAAAGAATTAATAGAGTTTTTCACTACTGCTTTCAACATTCACTCACCAGACTTCTTAGTCCTGTGCGTGAGTCTATGTGCATTTAATGCTGCAACACTTGTGAAAAATTCATGGCAATTTTCGCAACTGAATTTTTTCAGCTTTGGGGTATTCGAAGTAACGGTTGATTTATCTTCTTCTGATACATTTTTGGTCGTATTCATTTCACCAGCCGTTGTACTATCTTCATTTGCTATAAATTCTTCGTCGGATACTATGTCTTTCGATGATTTTTCAGATTTACTTGGTCTTCCACGTTTTCTTGCATCTCCTTTTGACGTTGACGCAGATTCCAATTTCATTTCAGATTCTGAATTGCTCTCTATTTTAGAAGCGCGACTTCTAGTTTGCAGTTCCTTAGAAGAATTTTCTGATTCATCAGTTTTGTCAGATTTAGATTGGGGACCACCCTCAGTTTTATCTTCGTGAATCAGAGCATCGTCTTTGTCAACTTTTGTAGGGGGTCTGCCACGTTTCTTGGGCAAAGTTTCTATGGTGGTTGAAAATTTTTCTCCTGATTCAGAAACATCTAAGCTTTCAATGACGTCAGATTTTTTATTTTTTTTAGGATCAGACAGAGATTCTGTATTATCTTTGTTTTTTATAACATGAGGATTTGATTGTTCTAAACACGCAAACATTTCTTCCATTTGCTCTTCTACTTCCATCATTGATTGTTCTTTACTAGACTTGGCAGGTCTGCCTCTCTTTTTGGGTGGTGAAGCAGTTTGATCGTCTACCTTTTCGTTCGAGTCTACAATGTCCGTTTTATCTTTGACTAATTTTCCACGTTTTTTTAATTCTCCTACGTCTTCTGAATTATCTTCAAGTTCAGATTCGTCTTCTTTATTTTTTCTAGTGAATCTTCCACGTTTTCGAGGCGTTTTTTCGAGAACTTCAACTAACTCTTCTATCATTTCATCCAAGTCCGGCGAATCTTCCTTCTGATCATTATCTGTTGTCGATTTTTTCTTGGTTATTTCAGATGATTGGCTATGTTCTTCGATAAATGATGTTTCGTCTTTGCATTTTTCTTCCGCCGTTCGTCCACGTTTCTTTGATTCTTCCAATAGTTCTTTTTCTTTTTCTTTAATGTCTATTTGACAGGGTTCAAGCGGTAATTTTTCGCTCGTTTGCTTTTCGTCTTTTATATTTTTATCTGTGCCAATTTTGATTTCTTCGGTTTTATTGTAAACTGAATCAGACAAAAGTTTATCTTTCATAGACGGTCTACCTCTTTTTTTAGGAGGGGCAATAATTTTTTCTCCTGTACTCGTTCTACCTTCTTTATCTGCAGTTGATTTTTTATCTTCCTTTTCATCCTTTAAATTTTCATTTTCTATTTCATCTTCATCATCTTCAGTATGAGATTCATCTTTTTTTTTTGTAGGTCTACCACGTTTTTTGGGCTCATCTGTAGTCGATTCCGGTAATTTTTCTTCAGATTCAGACACTGATTTAGCTAGTAATCGAACCCGTTTTTTAAGAGGACCCGCTGATATCGGTACACTTTTATCATCATCTTCGTCAGATTTATTTTCATTTTCATCGTCTTCGGTCAACTGATTTTCTTTCTTTTTTGTAGGTGGTCGACCTCGTTTTTTAGACTCTTCGACAGGTTCCGGAGTACTCGTTGAGATACGATCGCTCCAACGACCACGCTTTTTTGGAACTTGAGCAATCGGTCGTTCAATTTTATTTTTCTCTTCCGGTTCTGAGGATTCTGAGTGCTCGTCTTTTGAAATAGTTCTTTGCTTAGGAGGTCTCCCTCGTCGACGTGGTTCACTCAATAAGGCAGATGGTTTGCTTTTACTGTCAGGTGTTTCAGAGATCTCTTTTTTGATGGCTTTGGGTGGACGACCACGGCGTTTCGGTGGTTCTTTCACATTTTCACTGGAACTATCAAGTTTCAGCTCAATTTCCGGAGTTCCACTGGAATAAAAAAAATTTAATTAAAATATCGTAATAAATTGTTTCGGTAATAATATAAATATTTAAATAAATAAATAATAACAAACGCAAAAAATGTATCATACCTATCTTCTCTTGTTGGAGTTATTTTCTTTGGTGACAATTTGCCCTTCTTTTTAAGATCTTTATCGTGAATGTTCGCTTTTTCATCGTCGCTACTTTCTTCCATGTCTGTAGTGTCATCTTCTCTGTGATCGGTTCTGCGTGGTCTACCTCTCTTTTTTGGTGAATGCGTAGCTCTCACGTGTCGTGCTAACGATACGGCAACACTGAATTTTTCACCACATGCTTTGCATGTAAATTTCTTTTCTTTAGAATCTTCCAGCGCCTTTTTTTCTTCCATTTTTTGTATATTAGTTGGATTTTTCGTGCAGATTTGCATGTGTCGTTCTAAGACTTTTTTTTTTCGAAAATTTCGATTGCAATCACTACACTGCATAAATACTTGTTTAGGTTTTTGCTTTTGTTTTGGTTCTACTTCTGAGTCAGACTCTAAATCATCATTTTCCTTATCACTTGATGATTTTTTACTGTTCTCGTCTGCCTCTTCTGCGTCAATTTCAATAAGCTCAACCGACTGGTTAGTACGTTTCTTAGCTTTGCTAGCCGATGCTCGAGGATTATAATCGGGATCATTGGTCGTTTGCTTTTTCCGGCGTCCACGTTTACGTGGTTGGGTTATTTCTTCATCATCTTCAGAATACGCGCTAGCTGGTTGAATTATTATTTCCGAGTCAGCTCGATTGACTACGGTCAACTGCTGTTTTCTAGATCGTGGTCTTACTGGTGTTACCAAAACTGGTGTATCATCATTTTTTTGTATATCTTCAGAAGAATTTAAATTACCTTCTATGTAAGAAGGATCTTCATCTTCTTTTTTTATTTTACGATGAGCTTGAAGCAAATTATTTGGAGTACGAAGTTTTTTTGGGCTACTTCTGTATGTGCGATAGACCATTGGCGCTGTGACTGAAACCTTTCTCTGAGTTATTATTGGTGGCAATTTGGGCGAACATTTAACAACAGGTGAAATTTTCGTTATATTTTCCTGTCGTTTGATACTTTTATTAACCCACCATGATGGTCGAATTTTTTTAATCTTCTTAGGAATAGTTTTTAACTTTTCTTTCTTAATTGACTGTAAAGAAGCTTGAAGTTCATCAAAAGTCAATTCACCTTCCGAAGTATCACCATCACAAAGAACATATTGCATTGTTGATTGTTCCATCAATTCTAGTTCACTATCTTCATTATCTTCAATTGGATTTTCTATTTGTAAAAAATATTTTTTAGATTAAAATTTAATATTATAAATGATATAAAATGTATAACACAACCAAGTTTTGACAAACCTTGAATGTAAGGACTGTTTTTGTTTGGAAGAAGATAAGTTACTTGATGTTCCTTTTTTCTTTCTACCAAATGCTGCGTTACTACGTTAACTATTCTGCCTTCTTGATTCAGTATAGGTTTGGTAATCATTTTTTTTCCTGGACTAATTTGTCTAATAATTTGAGTTGTTCCTTGTTTTGGAGGAGGAACTTGTTTGATCAGTGTAGTAGGTCGTCCTGTTGCTATCTGTCTGATGTATGCAGGTGATCTGTTGGATGGATTTTGTCTGATGATTGTTGTTTGGTTAGCTGGAAATATTCGCTTAACAATAGGTGTTTTTCCTGGAGGATATTGTCTTATGAAATTTCCTGGCTTAACGGGTACTGTTTGTTTAACTCCAGTTTGTCTTGCCACAATGAATTGTTGTGGCTGTTGTTTTCCAACAAAAGTTTGCTTAGATATTTGTTTCATTGGAATAGATTGATTACTAGAATCACTTTTAGATGTAACTTGTCGATTCATTACTTGGGCCTTAGGTATTATCTGTGGATTAGACTTAGCTTGCAACTTGGGCGTTACTGGTTTTTTGATATTAGTTTGTATTTTAGATGCCATTTGTGGATTGACTTTTGATGGTACAAAAGTTGTTCCTTGAAGTTTAGGCATTGTAACTGAATTTGGAGAAGGAAGTGATTTAGGAGTAAATTGAAGTTTAGAATTTGAATGTAATTTAGCATTTGCTTGCAGTTTAGGTGACGATTGAGATTTAAGAACTATTTGTGACGTAAGAGTAGCTGTTGCTTGCGTTCTTGGTGTTACTTGTTGCTTTGGCGTTAATTGTTTGACAATATTTCGTCTTTGAATGGAGGGTAATACACTTTTGTTATTAGCTCCTTCCAAAATTTTGCTGATAGGTTGTTTAGATATAACAGGTTTTAGAGGTTCAATTTTTGGAGCTACAGGCCTTGGTTGTGCAATGAATTGAAGGGCACCTTCTCCAACTTCTTTTTTTATTTCCTCAACTTTCTTTAGGTATTGAATTTCATCCGGTTTTTCTATGTTAGTTATAACTGCTTGATATTTGTCAAATTTAATTTCCTCTTTTTCTTTTTTTTCTTTAGCTAGTTTTTCTTTAGCTTCTTTGCGTTGTTGGGCATTAGGTTTTTTTACTGTTTTGACAGCACCTTCTCCAATTAGTCTTTCAACATCCGCTCTAAAAAATTATTAATATAAATTACTTTTTGAGAAAAATAACAATATGAAGAATTCGAAAATGAATAGGTGTACAAACTTCATCAAAAAATGAAAATTAGTTGGTGGTTCCCCGGACTCATCATAAAGAGCTACAGCAAATACTTCATCCGAGTCTTCTACAGCATACAGAGCTAGCTGCTGACCAGTTGATGTGGTAAAAGTAGCAATTGTTTCATCGTCATCTGATTCTGCTGCAGGAGTAGCATCTTCTTGTTTTATTTCTTTCTGATCAGGCTTAAAAGAAAGAAACTAATTAAGGCATTATTTACTTGAAAGTTTTCATTTTGTCTATACATTAAAAATTAATTTATTATTTATTTTTGCTGTTGAATTAACGTATAACATACCTCAGTGGTTTCCTCAATTATTTTATCAGCAAAAGTTTCAATATTTTGCTCATTAGTTTGAGAGAGATTTGGTTCGTCAAACTTTGTAACACTATTTTGAGTGGAAATAGTAATATTTTGTTCAGAAACCTCAGAGTGTTCGATAACACTATGTTGTTCGATTGGTATTGTTATTCTCTGTTCTCCTGTAGTTATAGTGATATTATGTTGTTCTGGAGCTATAGTGATATTACTTTGTTCTAGTGTTTCAGGGAAATTGTGTTGTTCCGAAGTTGTAGGTAGATTATGTTGCTCTGAGATTACTGAGATATTGTGTTGTTCTGAAGCTAAATCAACATTTTGCTGTTCTTGGGTGATATTTTGTTGTTGGGATGTTAAAGTTATACTTTCTTGTTTTGGGTTAATAGTTATATCAGGTTGCGAAACGGATATCAAAACATTATCTTGTTGATTAGATAATGCAATGCTTTGTTGATCTACACTAATACCAATATTTTCTTGAGAAGAGGATAGTGAAACAGTTTGTTGTTCATTTGGTAATATAAAATTTTCTCCTTTCTCAAGTAAACTTATTTGCTGTTCAGCTGCTATTGTATAATGTTGTTCAGCAGGGAGTGCTATGGTTTCATCTACAGATACAGCAATATTTTGATCAGTAGTTGCTGCATGAAGAGTTATAAAATTATCTAAATCATCTGAATCTGGAACAGTTCCTAGACTGTTTTGTACATCAGCACTATTAACTAATTTCACAATTCCTTGTTGTGAATCATTATCGAAAATTATCTGAAAAAAATCAAATAAATAAATAATAATTCATAAAAAAATTCATTATGGAAATTATTTTACGTAATTGAAACTAGTATTAATATAAAATTTGTCTCGGATCATGAAGTATGCCTCTCCATTCCTACTTTTATTTTTAATTTTATTTTGACAAATTCAGTTATTTTAAAACTATTTTTTATTATTTGTAACTTTTTCTTGCCTTAAGAAAATTTAAATTTAAATAAAATTATCAAGAATAATTGCTTATGTTGTTTAAGAAGTGAAAAATGATGCCTCAAATCCTATCAATGCCAGAGGCAAAAAAAAAGAAGCTAGTACAAATATACTTGAATAAGGTTGTTTTTGATACTGGTAAAAAAAATGATATTTTGACTGCCATTCACACTGTACATATCAAATTGTGCTGTCTACTAGAGTGCTGTAGTAAATCCATCGACTAACAGCAATAGTAGCTGCTATTGGATTTTTCTGTAGACATCTCTAGATCTTTTAATGTTTATTCAACCAAAAAGTCAACATCAACTTGTTGCATATAGGGACTAGAACTAATGTACCAAAGCTCTCTAATAACAATTACTAAGACTTTCAGTGTTGAGGAAAATTTTTTATTTTCAGTGTAATTAATATATAATATAAAAATATTATATTACACAACAAGGGAGAAAAAGTAAAGAATGTCTCAGATATAATTGTCACCAGAAGTAAAACCAAGGGTAATATACATAAGATCTGAGACATTCTCTCCTTTCTTCTGTGTTGTGTATACAATTTTTATTTATACCTTGACATAAAAGTAAAATTTTCTGACCTTGCAGTTAGAGGGAAAATAATATTTGATCTTTACTGATAACAAAAATAATCCAAAATACTTAATTTTACTCTTCCTATAATACTACTAATAAAATGACTATACCAAACTTAGCTACAACTCAATATTTGATAATCTTTATTCAAGTTCTATAAACTTTTGAACAAATTTTAAAATGATCCAATTTGTTGAATTACAATTTGTTGATAGTATAATACGATAAAGTAAACTTTTTAACATACCAATCAAAAGGTATAATGGCTCGAACTATAACTGAGTAGTTTTTGGATACAATGTAACTAGTAGTAAAGAAGTTATAGCGTAAAATATACTAAATTCTAATGGACTAAACAATACTTCTGCATAGTTTCATGAATATATCTAGCTAAAACGTATTTTAATACCGAGTCACCTCAAGATCAATTACCAGCCACTTTTTAATTTAAAATTACGATGCTTACAATACATTTTAAAATTATTCTACATACAATTTTCATTGCCATAATAAATAAAATATTTAATTGTCATAATTTTACAAAAAGATTTTGTGGGTCGGTCATATTATTTAGAAGTTACCATAATTAGAAGAATTATTAATGTAAATTAGTTTTTTTCACAGGCATCTACATGTTTGTTTATCTCAAATTTTTTATCAAAAATTCAAAGGTCTTAATTATGGTTGTTTATTACACTAATTATATTAATTCCATCTTTCACATTACACATTAGAAAATTGTTTGCATATATTTTACTTACCACAGTGCCTTCCATCCCACTTTGACAGTTGCTCAGTAAATCCATATCTGATGACGGATCTAGTTGAATAGTTGCTACTGTCGCTTGACTATTGTTTAGAGGATCAGACTCTCCAGCAACTACAGTCACTAGACCCTTGCTCTCTTCTCCAACATCCATTGTTTAGTTTGATAGTAAATGGCAATTTGTTTATGAACATCCACTAGTTTTTTTCATGATTTCCTGTTATATATTTAGTCATTTAGTTATTGGAACAAAAAACCACTTGATTTACAGTAGTACACAAATGTATTCACTTTAACTTAAACAATATTATTTTGTACTATCTTGATTAAATTAACAAGTATACCAGAAGATAATAAATTTGAAGGTTATATTTTGCTATGCATTGATTATTTTGTGGATGAGAAATATAATTTAAATGAGAGCATTCATTTTTTAATTGTAATAAAATATTCTTGACTCAATGATGCCTGCACATGTACTATGATATTAAATCCTACTAGAAAAGCAACTGTTAAAAACAGTTCAACTTCTGTACAACTGACGAACTTTTATTCTGAATTCCTGAATTTTGGTTACAGTCAAAATCAAAATGATACAGAGAGAACAAATATAGGTACAATAATGATGTTATGTGCATCATTCCATTTTTCGACTGCGTAGGTATAAGAATAAGAACTAGAAAAAATGATCATATAAATGTCATGTGACGGTCTTTTGAATAGCAAAAGAGACATTACCTTTCTTTATCTATTCCAAATTAAAAGCTAAAATTAATAATAAACCTTTGAAAACATATGTGGTTATTAATAGATTCGATATGATATAGAATATACCATAAACTTTTTAAAATTTACTCAATTGTTTAAAATAACACTTAGTTATTATTAAATTCTATATTATGCATGAATTGACCGAGTCACTAACTGTTATATTGATCTGGTATACACCCGCCATTTTTAGAGATTACTCTAAACAGTAAGGACGCTAGAGAACAAACATACAAAATTTTCATCGTAAACGTATTTTTTATGAATTTTTGTTTTTATAAAATATACACAGCGATGAAAATAATTATTTAAGACCAAATAAAAGATTTTCATTTAATTTTATTTAATTATTTCTTACGTTTTTTAAACCTGCGTCAGTCTCGTTCTGCGTCGATCCTATTTTACAGAGTAATATAAGCTTGCGGGTATTTTTCAATGAAATTTTAGTGCGCAGTGAATTTCAGGTCACGTCTACAAAGCCCGAACTTGTGGTCATTTCTGCGTTTCGCGCGTTCCTGCAAGTTGAACAATTTTTATTGAATATTACCAACTACAAAAAACAAAACTTTCACAGGTCAATGGTCAGATTTGTGAAAGTGTCAATTTTCGCAGTTGATTATGTCCAGCCTCAATTAGAATACCAGCTTCAAATAGTGGTAGATTGAAAATTCTATAATTTTATGAGAAAATTTAGAAACCTTAAATTGAAAGTAAATCAATAATTAGAAAAAAAAGTATCAAAACAGGGAGCATATCATAAAAATATAAATTGGAATATATAATAAAGATTTGAATCGTCAAAATTATAAAGTAGTGTTAGAAACAAAAAACAATAACGGATCATATGAACCATGAACTTGTCTAATCCGTGTTTTATAATATAACCTTTTATGACACGCATATACATACAGCAAGGGAACATTGATTCGGTAACGAGCAGAATACGATAATAAAAAGAAGTAAGGTCGATGCCAATGCATAAGCGTGTACGGATTATTATTATCTCCGCGTATGTTATACACATGGGCAGCCCCTATTAGGCTGTACTTATATTTTTAGGTTATTATCGAATCAACGAAGCGGGAGGGGAGGGGGGGGGGGATATCCAAATGGACTTTTATCAAAAACGTCTGTGTCATAATTTCAAAAATTATGATCGTTTAATATCCAAACTGAAATAGTTCAAAAGGCCAAAATTCCAAAGGGTATGAAAAATTTGGCATGAAACACCGTAATTCAACTCTAGCCGAATCTGTCAATAACGAGGTAGATATGAACGAACGGAATTGTCCGAAACCTGTAGATACGAAAAATCATCCGAAATTGTCCTAGTTTTTTAATGGAACTAGTTGAAGTTTAAGTTTTTTATGATTTTTCGTATCTAAAGGTTTCGGACAAAGCTGTAGAGCTGCATTTTCGGGTTCATTCGCTCATATCTACCTCGTAATTGACAGATTCGGCTAGAGTTGAATTACGGTGTTTCATGTCAAATTTTTCATACCCTTTGGAATTTTGGCCATTTGAACTATTTCAGTTTAGATATTCCCCCCCCCCCCTCCCCCCCACCATGTACACTAGACCCAATCTAATTCTGCTCAGTGGAACGCCAGAATTTCCTATGCTTATACACGTTCCATTACTCTTATCTGTAGGACCAGGCAGAATTAGATTGAGTCTACTACATATTTATGGCCTTTTTAAGCCAGAGAAAAAAATTAAAATATGCTGCGTTTACTCGTACGACAGATCTAGGAATTTTTTGAAATTTTGTCTTACGGTTAAGTAAAAAAAATCGTAGATTTTTGAGGTATTTTTCTTCACTAAAGAACCACAAATATTCACTTTTAGAGAAATTTCAAGCAATACAATTATAATTGAATAAATAGAAAAATACTAAAACTCAAAATCGGTATAAACTAACCAACAAATTTGTTCATGTATGACAGATGCAGAATTGTACTAGCAGACTAAAATTTAATTTTTAACTCTGCGTGCGCGAAATACGGGTTTTCTAACCTTAAAGCGTCAGAAAACACTAGTTTTTCGCAAACAGGGTAAAAAAATATCGTGTGCAACTAGTCCGTGAGGAAATTGACTCACCCAGGAGTCTTATGCACCCTCGCTACGCTCGGGTGAAAACAACTCCTGAGTGAGTCAACTGCTTCGCGCACTTGTTACAAAATATACTATTTTCCTAGAGCCAACTTCAGAATGCATTCGCAAAATACAATGGGTATAGGTATCGATTCTATCCGATGGAACGACGGAATTTCCTATACATTAACACGTTCCACCACTCTGTTGGACCGGTCAGAATCGATGTTAACCCAGGGTACAATAATTTTTAAGTCAAATCGAAATTTGAGTTTTAAGAGATCAAAAATTTAGTAAACCGAAAAGAAATTTTAAACATATAAATAATTATTACGGTCTATTGGGGAACGAGTATATTCAGCTGAGCACCCTATCGTTTACAGAGAAAAGGATAAATCCGACAACGGAGAGGTTAAGGTGCTAGATGCCTGCTTGCAAACGTCACAACTACATGATAAATTTCATGATATTTTTGGCTTAATTGAAGCGACAGGAAAAATTAAAACGTTTAAATGTTCCTGCAAAACTGGTGAATCTGGCCAGTGCGAGCATGTTGTGTGTGCTGATAGCAGTATATAGTATAACTCAAATCTCGTCAGCTGCTCTAGTCGACAATAGAGCAATGGCCGTATATTTTAAACGTGGGTTACTCCACTAGATGGTGCCATAAAAGAAGAAGAAGAAGAAGAAGAAGAAGAAGACAATAGAGCATTCATAACATATCATCATTCATAACATACAGATCATATAAAATACAGTCAAACCCCGTTATCCGCGGGGGTTCGGTTCCGAAAAAGTACCGCGTATACCGAAACCGCGGATACCGAAGCATTGTTCTTATGGGAAAAGGAGGGTTCGGTTCCTCGTCCAGCTGAAATGTCAATGTACGAAAGAGTAAAACACCTTTTTTTATGAAAAATTAAAGTATTTATTAATTTTCGAGTAAAATACTTAGTCAAACTTTTTTGCTTCGCTCTGTGCATCAAATCTTTGTATAAACTTTCATAACACTGCAATGATTTTGTTATATCTTGCTTGAATTGAAGGCTGCGAGTCATTATTGGATCATGATTTATGGCTCGTTCAATGAGTTGTTCTGCATCAGCTAAAATTTTACTTATGACTTATCTTGCATTGTTCTGCATGTTTCCCCAAAGATTTTGCACTCTCTCGAGTTTTTTTCTCGTTGTCGCGGATTGTTCTGATCGAAGACTCGTTGACGTTGAATCTTCTTGCGATTGTAGCAACTTTTTCACCAGCTGCCAACGCGTCGAGAATTTTGATCTGTTCGACCAAATTAAGAACTTTTCTATCGCGCTTTTTTTCGATTGAAACTTTTTTTTTTGTGTTGGTCGAGACATAATTAAATAAAAAATAATAAAAAAATTTTTAAATTTGACGCGCAAAAAATGTTAACCTCCAGAAAAAAACCGCGGATACGAAAACAAAAAACCGCGGATACTGAAGTTGGGTCACAAATAGGGGTACCGCGGATACGAAGAATCGCGGATAACGAATCCGCGGATAACGGGGTTTGCCTGTATTCTGAAAAAATCGATTCCGAACAATGGTTCTTTTCGCAAAAATACTTGAGTTGTTTTTAAAATTCTATTCCAAAAACAAAACAAAAATAATGAAAAATATAAATTAAAAAAAAATGAAAAACTTTTGCATATATTCGCCGCTGCTTTTGAGTATAAAAACTCACCTTAAGGCTCCTCTATACAGACGGACAAATACCGACATACCGATATTATTTTGTACCCATTTTTTTTATTCTCTAGACAGCCGTTGAACTTGAAACTTCGTGGGAGTGATTATGAAACTTATAAAAATGTGCCTTTGGAGCCAGTTTTCAATAAAATGTTTAATAAAATCATTTTAATTAATTGTTTGAGAATACGTTACTTTTGAAGTTATAAAAGGGGGATAATAGAAAATCAAGTTTGTTTGAAAGTACCGGTCATTTAATTGAAAACTGCCTCCAGAGGCACATTTTTATAAGTTTCATAATCACTCCCACGAAGTTTTAAGTTCAATGGTTGACCAGGGAATAAATAAAATGGGTACAAAATAATTACGTACTTGTTATCGACTGAGTGTGTATAGAGGGCCCTTAACGAAAACCGTGAAGAAAAACAAACATCATCGAAATGCCGTGAAGAAAAACACACCTCATTGCAACGCCGTGAAAAAAAAAACACACTTTTTTGAAAGACCAAGATATTTTCGACGTGATTCGTTAAGGGGGGGGGGGGGGNAAGGGGGGGGGGGGGAGTGTATTTACTTTTTTATTATTTTCGGGTGATTTTGAGATCTTTTTCTATAGATTCGGTAAAAATAAGCTAATAAGGCTGAAATGAATGCTAAAGAACAACATTTCAAGAGTATTCTGTTCAATTTTCGTGACAAAATACTAAAAAATAAGCCTGTGGCAAGCATTTGAAAAACTCGGTGTACACGATAACTTATGATAGGATTGTCGGGAACAAATAAATCGACGTTTTCTTCAAAGTTTAAAAGATCTCTAAGGTACTGACGTCGAGTTTTTTCAATTATTTTCATTGTTTTAAATTTGGTGTCAATTGGAAGTCAAAAAATTGAAAAAACTCGAAAAAGCGTATGTTTTCTTATATGAAAATAGATCATAAAAATAAAAATTTTGAAAAAATGAAAATATCTCGACGTCAGTACCTAGTAAAATATTACCAAAAGATGTGTGTAAAATTTCAGAACGATCAGTTCAGTAGTTTTGGAGTTATGATGTACACCGACTCAAAAAATGTGATTGTTGAGGAATGCATTCAAAGATTTTGATGCATATAACGTGAATTTTATCATATCTGATCCTTACATCGTCTATGCTGGGCCTATGCAACCAAGGGACATCATCTAGGATATTTAAATTAATGTTTTTTATGTTTAATTTGTAATGCTTGATATTATTATATCAAAGTCCCATATAAACTACCCAAAAGTCAAGAAAACTAAACAGGTGGTCGGGTCTAAAAAACGAGTACATCATACTTAAATTAAAATGGCTATATCTCTGTCAATTTTTCTTGGATAAGCGTAAAATTTTAACACAATACTCTTGAAGGCCTAGGAAATTAAAAAAGACAATAACAAAACAATTAAAAATTCAGTTGAAAAGTACTATCCCCCTCCCGCTTAAATAGTGATTCGATGAGATGTGTTTTTTTTCACGACATTAATTCTACCAAAGTAATGTCTAACGACGGTTCCGGAGGGATGCCTGATTTCGCAGGCCATAGGCTGCAGAGTGTACTCTGCCCTTGTCCGACGAAAACACACACACACGCGGACATTTGTCGGGAATTCGGTGTAGTTTAAAAATCTGTAAATAAAATTTTCCTACGACGTTTGGTTCAAACGTACGTTTTCAAGACTACCCAGAGCTCCCTCTATGAGGAAACAAATGTGCTTTTTCAATTTCAGATTTATTTGTTTATAATCTAGTTGTAAACACATGTGAAATATTAATTACAGTTTAGAGTACATTTAAGAAATATGGGAGCAGTTTTTCTTTTTCATCGACTGCGATCATTTTTTGCTCTTGACTCCTGGACTGTTATTTTTCTTGACTAGGGCAAAATTTCATTTATAAATTTTTTATGGTTACTAGTAAATTAGTTCCAATTAATTAAACTGATATATCAGTGACTTACCATTGAGTAACTGCTCAAAAGCCAGATGCTGTTTGCAGATAAAATAAAAATTCCTACTTTATCTGTCGGTCGATAAAGATGAAATCATCTTTCTTCTCTTCGCTTATATACATAAAGTATACTTTAAAATAAATTCATTAAAAACTTGATTTAAAAAAAGATATAACTCTCTATGTAGTTTTAATACTAAAAATGTTCGAATCAATAAGTTCATGTTTATCATAAATAATAATTGTCATATATGATGACCCAGATTATCCCTTTATAATCCGGCGATCAGCGTTGGTTAACAGATTTGTAAACTGTGTGCACGCGTCCGTGCGTGTGTGTACATGTATGTATAATATGTACGAAACAAAATCTCGAGAATGGAATAGTGAATCGTGTCGAATTGTATTTATTGTAGATCGTACCAATAATGAAGCCAGAAGAGTTAACGCAGCAATATTTGCCGAAAAAATTTTTTTTACGATTTTTAGGTTTTTTTCACATTTTGAAAAAAAAAATTATTTTATCAATTTTTACCGTATAAATTAAATAATTTTCAGAATTTTCCCGTAGTTATTACGAAAGCAAAGCAGTCAAGCTTTCATTCGAGACAATAAAAGTAGAGACTCGCAGAATATTATAAGAATTAAAAATTCAAAATGAAAATTGTACTTTTGCTTTCTTATAGAGTTAGGTATGTACTCAGAATGCAATGTACTCTCTGCAACCCTCTTTTTATCATGTTTAATTAAAGATTTATAATTAATTCATCAATAATAAAACATTGATTAGTTTATATTAGTGGTCATACATATAGATAAAGCTCTTTGCCAATGAATTGGCAGTGGTTTTTTAATTTATTTTGACCTATTATGGGTAGATATATATGCAAAATAAAAAATAATGAAAAAAATGGAAATACAATAAAAACGTAGTGGTAAGCTTAAACGAAATAATTTTTCTTGATATTGACGGTGAAATCCGAAAACGTTCCTTCGTGTTGGGAAATTAAAAGAACAGTCTTCAAAAAATGAATTTTGAGGATATATGCGTAATTAGTGACCGAGGCAAAGCCTATAAAACGATAAAAACATGCACAATGGCTAACTTTTTACGCCACCTAGCCCAGTAGTTTATTTTCATAACCTGCATAGTCTGAAACATTTCTTTCAGGCAGCAAAAAAGCATACGCAGCATGGGAAGTCCAAAAAAATGTTTCAGATCTCTTGCTCGGCCATCAATCTCATTGAACTCAGCCTTTCAATTGAAAATTTGCAAGTGCTAATTAAACATTCATTTTACTTGGGCTCGTGATAATTTATACTAAGTAAACAAGAAGAATGAATAAAAAATTAGTAACAAACGTTTTCATCAATATTTGTTAATACTGAAGTATTCGGTTCTTTCAGTTAACTAATAAGAGATTATTTCAAATCATTCATATGATTAAAAATCACTATGAAAAACTAGCCATTTAGATTCCATTTTGACGTAATTTCAAAAAACTCAATTATTTTTATCTAGAAAATATCATTTTCAATCTTTCAGGCAATAATTTTAAACTTTGTAAAAGTTATCGTTATCACTCTTACAAATATAAATATAAGAATGAGCTCTTGCTCATATGCCGGGTAGCTACATAGTTTGGTTATTAAATTTTCTCTCTTCCAAACATTCAGCTTCGTGTTATTCAGCTCCCGGTCATACGGCTTTTTACTTCCAATATTTCTTACGGAAGAATTATGACACGCAATCGATGTCACCAGCTTGACGCATTCCTTGTTGAAGTTTTATGGGTCTACTTCAAACTCGTTCTTGCAAATTACTTACTGCATTATTTGGAAAATTCATAATGTTTGATCGATGCAACGATTTTTTACCATCTCAGTTATTATACTTTACAGGTTTTAATGTCTTAACAATAGTTACATAATCAGTTCCTAAATTTGAAATCTGTAGTTGTATTCATGATTTATTAATTTGCGTATATTATAGCTTATATGGATAGAAGCTTCTTTGGGAAAACCATTTTTTTGCTATTTCACGTATGATTTAATCCCCGCAAATCTGCTTATTACATATCTACATGCCACCTTTTGAAACTAGTCCGAATAAACTAAAACTGAGTCGGTTATTCATTCAATATTCTCGTATTCTTCCTGATTGCACAGGAAAAGTTCAATTTTTTAGTGCCAGTTAAAATTGTCAAAATATATGCAAAGTGACACTTTCATGGTATTTTTCAATCAAAAAATCAATTCTTTATTCATACGCTATGCATTTTATTATGCACCCGACCCTATTTTAACTATCAAATCACGTTTTATGCACCCAAACTCAAAGTATAGTTCAAGTATATCGAAGGGCCCTGAAATTTTTTTTAATTTTTTCATACATTTAAAAAATGTCTGATATTTTAATCATTCTTCTAAATAATTTTGAATAAACCATCTGCTTTAGATCGCTAATTCGTTTTTGATTTTAAAATTTGTGCCCAACTTTCTCTTTTTGTCGATTGTAAATTCAATTTTTTTATTTTAGTTACGTAGCAATAACTGTTCCATATAAAAATGGAGGAATTGTCACTTTCGTAACAAGAAAATTGTCAACTTGATGCATATAAGTGTAACAATAAGAATACTTTTCTTATTTAAAGTTATTTTTTTGTAATATTCACCATAAAATTGTTTATTGAAAATCCAATCGCCTTGTCGGTTAAGTTGCATTTGTGACCATATTGTATTAGAGAAATGTACAATACCGGCGCACTGTACTTCAAACGGTTCGCTTTGAGTTCTACAACATGTTAACAAAAACATGCTTCATCAGAAAATATAAGAGATATTTTTAAATTGAATGACTCGGTTTTTGATTTTAAGATACTTTGAAGTCCTTAATTAATTATTTAATGTAAACCATTTCAATTTTTTTCTATATTACATTAAGATAAATCATTAATGTATGAAGCAAAAGGATGTATGAAAATCATTTAATCTTATCCGTATTTTTTTACATAAGAAAATCTTCTTTCAGCTTCTCTTTATTTTCTTAATCTCTAATATAAATCTATTATTTGTGAGGACGATTTTTTGGTCAAAAAGTTGGTTAAAGAGCTTTCGTTAATGACCAAGAGCAGCGAAGCAAAAGATACAATCAACCAGCCGTTCTTTATCTTCTTGGACGTATTTTTACTTCACACATAGTATTATGTGACCAGGGATTCAACAGCAACGCGGTTATAGATTTATTAAGTGACCATTAAAAATTTAAATTGATACTAATGTAAGGATAAGTGTAATAAAAGTGTTGAGCTTCTTGACATCTTTTTTTGAATCATTGTTTTTAAAAATTTATTTTATTAATACTGAGCAATAATTAACGAATTTTACACCAAAATCAATAAAATAATTATTACCGTTCGGCAGGATGATTTACCTTCTATAATTATAAATGTAATAAAATAACGGTACATCAAAAGTTATTCGTTAAAGTTTTTTTGACTTATGTACTTACATAAGGGACAGATCACAATTTAAAAATTTTATAATTTATCTTTAAGAGGTCACCTAAATATAAATTATTTTATATTTGTGGTTGTTCTTGGTCGATTAACAACCTTAAAGGACCTTTGATGTACCGTTATATTAACTGTTCATTCAGTACGAACATTAACAGTTGCATGATTTAGAGGCCATTAACACGGTTCGTTGGGTGAAAAAACATATTATTTGTAAAATTTTCAGTAGTTGTTTTTAAAAATCCATTTTGAAGAACATAAAGCGTCTGCCAAAGTTCAATAAATTTAGCTTCAGTTGGATTGAATGCACCGATCATCTTGTCGAATTTTTTTTGCATGTTTTTATCTTTAATTTTGCGAAGAATGTCATCCTTCATATAAGTGAATAAAAATTTCAAGCCTACCAAATTTTCTATTTCTTCAGCTTTGCTTAATTGTCCTGGTTGTGCGTACTTGAAGCGATTAATATGATAATCAAAGTATAGGGTAGGTCGAGGATCTTCGTGATCATTACGCGCAGCTTCATGCACGTAATCGAAAAACGTTTTAATAAATTGAAAAGCATTTTCAAATAACGGTAACAATTCCTCTTCGTAGGTTTTTTTCATTTCCTTTTCAAATTCTTTTAAATCGATATCGAAATCTTTATTGATATCACTAAAATCCAGTCCAGAGTCATGTTTTGAATGGTGAGATGCAGCTTCGGTCAGTAGCACCAAAGTAGTGAACAAAAGACTGTAACAATGCAATATTTTAGCTATTTTTCAAAAATACTTAAGATTACAGTGAATGCAATTAAAAAAAAAAACGGAACTTACAGAATCGGTCGCAGCATCATTGTGAGTTGTTATTCACTGTTCGAAGGTTGGGTTTCGATTCTAAAGAGACGTAAATTTCTTGTCTATTTATGGATTTTTTTTAAGGAAATATTTTTATCATGCTTGCAGTAGTGATATTTACATTTCAGTAATTAATTTTTGTCTGTAAAACTACCCAACATCCGTATGATAAAAATTGTCATGAGTAATATAGACACATCGATAACGATGACTTTGATGAATATTTTGTCGTCTAATGACAATCAAAAAGTCAAACGGATTATTTTATCATTTCAAAAAATTGTTCGTTACTTAATTGTAACTTCGATTGTATAAATTTCCTTTTAAAGAATAATATTTTAAATTAAAAAGTATAGTTGACAAGTGTATACAATTCAAATCGTGATCTTTTTTGATGGTGTTTCTTTTAACTTATTTTCAGATTTTTGAGTAATTTTTACTGGAGATCTGCAAAAAATAAATTTGAAAATTTTTGAAAATCTCTTACATAACATCGTTACAAAATAAAATTGAATCATAGTCGTAACTAATTATGTAGTTTACAATAAAAATATTGACTATTGAATTTTATTCATTTAAAACTTAAATATCGAACTTTTATTATCACATAATGAAATAAATGCTAGAAATGAGTTTTGAATTATGAATTGAAGTCACCAAATTCCTGTTTGGATTAATAGTGTCAAGTTGGGAGACGGAAATTTTATAACCTTTCAGGTAAATTTAAAATTAAACTCCCCACCGGGGGCCATGTGGTTTTCTTCATTTTGACAGACCGGGATTCGTAACATTTTGTTTCCCGGCTTACTTTAATAAAAGAAGGGTTGCCTATTTTCTCGTATTTTTGGCTTTTGGATTTCAAAAATTAATCGCATTTTTAGAGACGATATCACAGTAATAACGAGCTCATATTTTCAAAACATTCGGACGAAAGTCCTAATATCGTGCAGGTTTGCTCATAAAAGTGTCACAAAATCAAATACAATAGGTAAATAAATATTTATTTCAGAGTATGATAAAAATTATTATATTTTATATCAGAAAACCATTCTTTTTTGTCTCTGTGGTGCTTTTCCGAGTAAATCGATTAATTTTCATTTCTATATTTCCGCACATTAAATCTTATACTAAACAGGCAATTAAATTATATATACTTTTGTTTTCTAGCACAATAATCTTTTAATTTAAATGGTTTTAACAGTAAAATAGTGCTTTTGTACAGTGCTTTGTTTTCACTTCAATTTCGTGTAACTCATCGTGAACCAACAAAATGCAGTTAAAACAAAGCGATGGAAGAACTTTGGTTTATTAGCATTTTTAAGTCTTTCGTCGAAATCGGTAACACGTTCTCCGCAAAACTCTCGCCTATGAGCACTTTGGAAATGCGCATCATGGGTAATCCCGCGGACGCCACTCTAATGGATCCTTGATTCTGTTATAGGAACTCCCGCTTTCTCTCTCTCTCTCTCTCTCTCTCACACTCTATTTCTCCAATCCCATGAGTTTGTGTGCTTTCGCATAAATACTTCCGATTGAGATGTTCGAATAGTGCGTTTTGCTAAGGGGATAAATTTTGTACTCTGAGTAAAAAGTAGAATATTCAAACACAAGAAATCTTTAAGTATAATGAGTTGAATGATGGGTAGAAAGAAATTTTTTAGTATTATATAGTGTTTAAACTTTGAACGAGTTATTCATGTAGTCTTCTTTATTTAAAAGACATGAATGCGAAATGAGATTATAGTTAAATTTTAATTTGAATATAATATACAAAATCAACATGAGCTTTGATTTTTTATTTGTGAAAATCAAATGAATATTTTCATAATTAAACATAACTTTATGTATACTTAGGACTTATCATAAAAGATTGAGTTATCTATGTCGATAGTGCCCTACTGTCCGCAATAAAGTTTCAACTAAAATAATTGAAAAATAAATGTATACAAGATAAAAGGGTCGTACTTGGTGTATATAATTTAAGCACAATAGTTATCATTTCTAATACTTTGGTCATCCTTGCACGCGCAAATTTTTTGCGGTATGGCGAAACAAAATTGTTGACAACCTCCATTGTTTATTGTACAAGGGTTGTTATCATACATTAGTTGTAAGCTTGGACTAACTATTCTAACTCCTGATATAATTTCCATGGAAGGAAACCGCGGTATCATTTTTTCAGCCTGGCCACCATCATACTTATTAAATCTCCAAATGCTTGTAGAGTTACTTACATAAAGCCAGTCTTTGTAGATAAAAATGGTAATTGGATATGGTATATCGGTGACGTTAAATTTTTTAGTTTCGACACCATCTAAATCGGTGTAATGAATAGGAGATACTTTCCACGAGCTGAACAGATAATAGATTTTATCTTTTTCATAGTCTATGCCGATCGTCCGGTACATATTGTGATAATCGATCGAAGCTATTTCTTTCAAACCTTTACCAAAGGTACTGGTTCTTTGAATATCTTTGCGGGTGGCATTCCAAGCAGTATAGTAAATGTAACCGAATTTTGGGTGTATTACCAAAGCGTGAGGACTTCCTTTCATCGGGAAGTTCAAGTCGTGCGTGAAGAAATTTACACTTCGACGATACTGAACATTATTCAAGGTTTTCAGTACCATTAATACGTGCGAATTTTCAACGTCGTTAGATTTTTGTACGTAATATATGTCACCTGTTATCCAATCATAAGTGACGTCTTTGAGCTGATAACTTTCGTTGACGTGCACTAAAGTTATTTGTTCTTTGTCATCGAAAACATTGATGACATAAATGTTAAAATCATCGTTAAAATAGAAGTTTCCAGAGCGAATGTCAAAATCAAAATCTATCATGCCTTTGTAGATTTGAGATTCGGTGTGGAACACAGTTGGTAGAATAGCTTCCGTAAACGAAGCTTTGGTCGAGTTGAGAATACGACCCTTGATCAAATTTTTCTGAGTATAGAGCATGAAGTCCATTATGGGCGAACAATTTCTCTCATCTGCCTGTAATTCCCATCCAGTGCTGCATGCACAGGAAGGGTAGTACCCACCAGCTCGTCCAACAGGCGATTTCATTCTAGCGGATGGTATACAAATTTGTTGACAATCACCATTTTTAATTTTACAGACAGCTATTACATTGCGTTGATAGTCCCCGTAAGAAAAAACATTGGTAATTTTGGTATTACCGGCGTTCCCAGCGAAATTTTTAATTTTGCAGTTACTTGAAATTTCACAATACCACAACGCCAAGTTATCAGACCAAAAAATTTTGTTACCGCTTACTGCCAAACTACTAATTTTTGACCAGGCATTTGAATAAATTTTACGATTATTTCCGTCGAATTGTATGCTATTGATGCTTGCATAATCAGCACCCCAATATAGAGTCTGAGTTTTGTAATCAATAGCAATCGTGGAAATATCAACACTTCTCACTAAAACAGTCATATTTTCTCCGCTCATTGAACTTTTCAAAATCTGAAATAATTCACTTTAACAATTAATTAAATTAATCTATATAAAATAATTAAACAAACATTACCGAGTCATGGTACTGAGCAATGAACATGTATCTTTTAACAGGATCTAGAGCTAAATCACAAGGTTTTGCTAAATCTGATATCACAATTCCGCTGTGTGTTCCTTGCCTTTCAATAATATTAACTGTACTGGCAACACTGTCAATCAAATAAAAGTTAGTACTTCCTATGTCAATCTTTAATACTTTTGGTTTCCATCTTTTGGGGTAATTTATCGGCAAAAAGTCATTTGATAAAGATTTAATACTTGAAGTGCTTTCGTCTACCCAAAATACAGTTTCATTCAAATACACATCGAAGATATGAAAATTTTCGTTCATCATTCCATGTTTTAATGTAACGATGCTACCGTTTCCATACTTAAGTATCAATATTGAGCTGCCACCGCTCAAGATTAGCGAATTTGATAAATCTTGATTGTCAGCCCCCGTTGAATTTTTCGTTGAAGCTATCTGTGTCGGATATCCATCTGAACAACCTGCAATGGAAACATCGTTTATTGTCAAGGGTTTTCAAAATACTTCCAGGGATTCACAAGTACCTTTACATTGACTTGAGTCAGAATTCTGGTTCCAGCAACTGGAATCAGGTACTTTAGAATTTTGTTCACTGGCTCGAAGTAAACATAATTTCTCACACGGTTCCTCGCGTTCTTCGCAAGGATTTTTCATCATACTGTAACGAGGTACAACTTTCAAAAGGTTGGCCCCTGCGAGAGGAGTGCTGTGGACGTTGTTACTGTCGCAAGTTCTATTGGATATTTTGCAATACCACAGAGAATTATTCGTTGTCCAAAATATTTTGTTTTCGTAAATAACGCTGCTCCTTATTGACATGGATATTTTTTCTAATATCATTACACTTTGTCCATTGTAGTCCGAACTGGCAATACTTGAAAAATCATTCGACCAATAGATGATTTCGTTATCCCGGTCGATTGCTATACTCGATACGCTATCAATTTGTACTATTGGTTTTGAGGAACTACCATCCATATTGGCTCGAATTATCTGGGTGACAGAAATTTTCAGATTAATTAAAAATTACTAAAAGATCTACTAAAGAATTCAAAATTACCAATTTTGATTTTTCGACGATAAAGATCAGGCCTTTATTAGCATCCAACGCCAAATCGCAAGGGTTATCAAGGCCTGTTATGATGGCACGGAAAATTTTGGAATACATATCGATGACATTTATAGACATATTTGCTGCGTTAATCACATAAACTTTTTTACTGACATAATCTACATCTATTGCCACTGGTTCCCATAAGTTTGGGTAGTCAATTTTAGGATAATTTCTCGAAAAAGATTGAATAGTTCGAGTTTTTTGGTCAACCCAAAATGCAATATTTGCTGCAAAAATAACCTCTTTTTCTGTACTGTTTGTTGAGATGTAAGAAAAAGATTGATGGTATAGCTCAAATGAGACCAAGTCACTTTTTTTTTGTAAATAAATTACTGGCGAAATATTGACCGAGAAATTATCGTAATTTTCAAATTTTTTATGGGTACTTAGGTATATGCCACCTGAAAATAATTTAAATTAAAAGAGTAAGTATTTTGTACCAAAGAAAATGATTAATTAATTGTACAAGAATGCTTATTTCCAAATAATGCAACCAAGATGACGAGTAGAATAAGAAAGACTATAATCGTTATTGCGACGTAACAATTGCAACATTTTTCCCTCAATACCCTTTGCGTCTGAAATTTCGTTCTGAATCCAAATCGTTTGTATCTATAATCCTCTTCGTGACGTTTCTCAACGAAGGAAGAAACCGACTCGGCATCTACAAGTAAATTTAGGCTTATCGTCAAATAATATTATTTCAGAGCTTGGAGAACTTGAAAGACTTACCGAAATTTTCATTGAAAATTTGAATCTGCTCGAGCTGTGGAGCACTTGGAGCACTCATAATTTTTAAATAAATAAATTTTTTAAACTTGCTCAAAGCGTTTATTTGTAGAAATTGAGCCGATGCTTCTATAGGCAATAGTGTACTGTAGTCGCCAAGCTCTCTTGTTCGATCCAATGAGCATAAAGACGACACACGAGATAAAATAATCTCCCTCGCACTCCGAGAGCATTAATCATTCAACTGCATATCAGTGAATGCGAACTTTATACGTTACACATCATCCATTTAAAATAGCGTCTGCTAATTATTAGGAATATATTTGCCATGTTATAAAATAATTATGATATGCAAAGCGCAAGTCTCCTCTGCGCAACTTAAAATTTTTTGTTGTTATCACCGTATCTAGTAAGCCGTTTCTTTAATTTTCATAAAATTTTCAGGGTGCATTCTAATAGGATTGAAGATGTGCTGTAGATATAGTTTTTGGTAGTAATAGTATTATAATTATACATATGGGTCAAAATAATACTTTTTTACAAAACCATGCGCACGTATGTCACCGATCTTGGAGCTAGGAAGCTCCAATCAAACTTTTGAAAGGGTCAAAATTTATTAAAATTTGACAAGGAATTCAAAAAAAATTTTTTCAAATTTTTTCAATGGAACCATCGGGTTCTAGGAACCTTTTTTTGTTAAAAATAGCATTTTTCGGCTCTAGAAGTTATCGCCTTCAATTAAAAAATCTGAAAAAATTTGAGGTTATGTATTTTGATGAAAAAAACAAGAAAAAAGTTTTTCCAGATTTTTCGAGGCTCCGTACCGTCCTAAAAAAATTATTTTCGTCAAAAAAAGCGGTTTTTGGCTTCAAAAGGTGCGTTAGGTCATCTGAAAAAATCTGAAAAAAATTGAGGTTATGTTTTTCAATGCAATAAGAAACTGAAAAAATTTCCGTTTACTATATCGGCTCATATCGCCGTATCTCGATTTTCAAAATTTTTAATGATTTTTTCTGAAGGCCTGAAGCACTTAAAAAATATGAAAAAATTCAAGGTTGTTTGGATTGTTGAAAAGTATTTTTGTGAATTTTTTCAGATTTTTTAATTGCTTCATGTCCTCAGAAAAAATATAGATCGAAAATGGACGTTTATACCGGAAGTGAGGGGTAGGAGGGGGGAGGGGGTCTAAAAATTTTTTTTTGGGACCTTTTTACCATGTACTATAATATACCAAAAGCGCGTCAAGATCGGTGACATACGTGCGCACGGTTTTGTAAAAAAGTATTATTTTGACCCATATACATTTTTATGAACTTTTGACGCAATGTACGTTAAAATTCATGTTATTAACGCTTATAACATAACAATTTAACGAAAAAATGTTTAAAATTAATGTTTGCTTGGGTTACTTAGGTTACAAGTCAACCTAAGTAGGAGTTCACCCAGAATCGATTTATATAAATATATTAATTTGAAGTAGTAAGATGTTTCATGGGTGATTCCACGAGCATAAACCATGACATACAGCTCGTCCAACTTTTTCTCTCGCCTACGTAATAAGCCCTTTATTTAATAATTGACAATTTTCACGATTTTTTGTGAAATCGGGAAAATTTTCGTAAAAAAATCTATCGTAAAGTGCTAGTATTTAATCGCTCAGCATGTGAGCAACAACGTTGCCGCACTAGTATAGCTGGGTACTTTGCTTGAATATATATTGTTATTTGTTATTCAAATTGCTATTAGGTATTTTTAGCGTAAAATATTGTCAAATAACGTCAGGGCCAAATTTGTTCATGGAAAACAAAATTTTTTATAGATCAAGAGTGGCTAAAAAACTCTCGAGGATGAGATATATGAAAACGAAATGCTCCTATAATACGAGAGACAATGAGAAAAAATGATGGTTTCGCTGAGGTGCTTACGTGTGCGCTGACAATATAATAGAATTAGTCCATAATTGTAGTACTTTGTTCGGTTGGTCTTATCAATTCGACACAGACCTAAAACATATATAGATACAGAAAAAGAGAGTCGAGCGGCTCTCTCGTTTGAGAAAATACACTTGTGCAGTTTTAATAGAGCCGCTGGTGCAAGTACTCCTCACACATCCAAGAAGTCCAAGGGAAATTGCTCGAGTGCAGTAACGGTAGCGGTGGCTTTGGAAGAAAAAAAGAGGCTGGAATGAGCACGCAGGAGAAAGGGAGAGTATTATACGCTAGTAAAGCAAGGGAGAGCGAGGAAGGGTTCGGTCGCTACCACGACTAGTTGCACGACTGCGCAACGAAGATATCGTGTAAGTCGGACTTAAAGCGCCTTCCAAAAGCTCGTATGAAAGCAGCAGTGAGGCAGGGAGATAGGTACAGCGACTAAAGAGAAAGAAAAAGGGACCTCCTGTTAGCTCTGTAGCTCTGCCTCAACGAGAGGAAAAACACCAGCTGAAAAACTGTGCCTTGCTGACAGCTGTGTGTGTGTGTGTGTGTGTGTGTGTGTGTGTGTGTGTGTAACTTTTACAGGCGGCCTGCAAGCGGGATTTGAAGCGAACGAGAGTTTGCGCCGTCCCAGTAGCAATTCCCCGTCGATTTTACCACGGCGGCGACGAACGAATTTGAAGCCTTTGTCTCGCGAGGACCGTGTGCTGCAGCTACCGCCGCCGCTCCTTCTTCTTTTCTGTTGGTTTAGTCTACATTTTCGTCCTGCTGCTGCTACTACCTCTAAAGCTTAATACTGCGTTTTTATATATATATTATATAGCTACGTATATGTATAGATGCTGGGATACTCTTTCTCTCTCTCACCTTTTTTAGCGAGGATTATGTAGTGCTTATGAGATGGCTTATCGGGATAATAGAAAGAAAATCGACGTTTATCGAGCTTTTTCGTCGAGACTTTTTTTCCATAAGTACATATACCTAACGTTTACTTTATAATCATTATTAAAAGCACACCACAGAGACAAAATATTTCATAAGTTATAGGAAAAAAATCAAGCTTGAATCTTCGTTCCCGTCGCTATTTTGTCAGTATCGGACTCGCAGTATAACGAGCTTGCAGAGTGTTGCAAGTCAATTGCTCCTAAACAAAGGCGAGCGGATCCGGCAAGTGTGTAGGCGAGTGGGAACGGAGGCACAACAACAGGCGCGTTTGTGTAACATACCGATTTCCCGCAACCGCAACAATAAGACGAGATAACGCGTCGTCGAATTCATTTGCTCAAAACTCATCTAGATTCGAGGGAATTCGTACATTTTACGGGTGCAACGTCACGCCTGCATACGTGTTGCAGTATATGCATGTATTAATTTGCTATAACGAGATAAGCAATTGATAGATTATTTTGCGTTCCGGCTTTCTGGCAATCGCGACTAATACGAGTCAATGTAACAAGAACAGGTTATATTTACTATATCGGATTGAATGATCCAGCGTTTCTGCAACTGAACCGCTTTGTTAGCTGGAATAATCGGGATTCAATTTGTATCATGAAATCGACGAAAAATGTATGCATATAAATGTACGCAGTAGATGATTTATGCTCACGTCAAATTGAACTATAATTGAGTTATAGCGACTATTCGAAGCTATCCCAGCTCCCAAGGTATTGTCTTGCGCGCACACTCAGACATAAGCATTTTGTAACGAGTTTAAAGTTTCGATCGTTTGCTGCATATTTTCCTCTACTGGGCTCTTCCTTCTGTCTTACATCACATTCTTAAAAGACGATAAATTCAGACCTGGCGTCCATGCATATATATCATCTCAGCACTATAGCTTTTACGATGTCCTAATACTTAATGCCAGCCACGTTTTATTTATACGACATCTTATATGCTCCGCTCGCGCTCGCGCTTATACGTATGTACGTAAGGTCATGTAAGCGAATTCTTAGCTACTACGCGGAGACGGTCTTGAGCTTTCAATTTCCGTTAGTGTAATATGAGCGAAGCGCGCATACAGTCATCAATATCCATCGTTTAGCTTTAACTTTAAGCGGAAATTACGCTTGTCGCCGAAGCGTGCGTCCGCCCAATAATCCACAACTAGAGTTTGGACTTACGCCACGAAATAACTCAGTTATTTTAGAATGAAGTTATCAATTTTGTTTGCAAATTACAAAATACATACTTTCGTTAAGGGCAAGGCATTCCATTGAATTTTTTATCCTATATATTAAGTAGTAGCGATGCAATCTGTAAAAAAGTTTCTAGTCCTTCCATAAATGAGATGATTTTCCTTGTTATATACCTAACATTGAATGGAAAAATTCACCGAGAAGTTAATTCGTTTTCTTAATCAATCACACCAAATCTGATCAGTGGAAAATTACTGTGGTATTAATGTAAACCAACAATAGTCTTTCTCTTCGACATTACAAACAATAAATCATTTTTTTTGCATTTATGTATTGGTTAAGTTTTTTCACCGATACTCAATCCACATTGCAAAAATAGCGCTGGAAATAGTATTAAACTGGAAAATTTCCTATCTTGAAATTTTCATGAAAATAACACAATTTTTTAGTCAAAACAGATCCGGCAAGTTTAAAAGTGTTCGCATAAAGTTGACTGTGTTTGCTAGACTAATTAAAGAAGGTTGATTTTAATTCTGATCATTTATAGCATCAAAATATTCTGTAAAAATTCTACTCTTTGGCATCTTTTCCTAAAAAATGCCAAAAATCCAAATGAGCGTTATATATGAGCGTCTCAAGATCGTCAAACCAACAGATTCGGTTGCGTATCGAATTTCACATGGACTCGAGCTTTCGCATGACTCTTGCATACAAGTAGACATACATAAATACGTATAGATATACACATATCATATTTATATGCATGCGTAATCGAGTAATCGGAAACGTATTCGATTAGGTTGAAAAGTCCAAATCCAATAGTTCGGGCACAGTTCGAGTACTCGCCAGCAGGATGCACTCTTCTCTCTCTCTCTCTCTCTCTCTCTCTCTCTCTGTCTCTCTCTCCCTCTCTCCCACTATCTGTCTACATATATATCTCAATTTTTCGGGGTTGTATACAAACAGTGCACCGCGTACCGTCGTCGGTAACCGATGAAATGGAATTACGAACCAATTTCGATGCTCTGCTGCGGCAGCGTTTTCAGCTCTGTTTCTCTCCCTTTCTCACCGTGGCTTAGTACGAGTTTCAAGTCCACATGTCAAAATTTTAATGACATCATGGCCTCGAGCCGTATACACCGCACATTGCTACTAGTTTCAACTAGAGCTTCTGCGATCTCTCGCATGCGTGTGTAAACCTTTGGCGACTTTTATAGATGAATATATATGTGGCTTTGAAAATTGAGGTGTACCATGAACGTACAAGAAACACACTTATTCTACGTCGACTGAGTTAACTCAAGATTTGGACAGTTCTTGCTTATGAGACTACTGGCCGGATTAAAAACAAGTTACTCAAACAAGGGAACAGTAGGTGTTTTATAGGGAATGGTACATTTTTTCAGCGACGAGTGAAAATTTTTGCACTTTGACGACTTGATACATCGAAATAAGCTCGTTACGTGTAGTGGCGTCGAAACGCTGAAAAACGAGCACCTTAGATAAAATATGCCCGTAAGAGTGTACTCGGCTAGTAAGAAGAGGAAATGATTACTTTTCGTGCACGCGCCAGCTTGGAACCTATTTAAACGCGCGTACTCGAATGCAGACCCGGTTTTGTTACTTCTCTAAGTTGAACCGACACGAATGCAAGGGAAAAACTTTGCCAAGTATGTGAGTTGTTTAATTTTTAAGCGACCTATTCATCTTTCTTTGAAAAGTGCGTGTATATGTGGTGTGCTTTTCGCGCATAGGCGAAGCGGCGGCGGCTTTTCCGAACGTGACATAAATGTTGCTCACCATACAGCGAAAGTATATTTAATGTTTGTTTCCCCAACTTCTTTGAGGTCGTTATGAAAAGCTCAAGCATTCGCGCACCAGGCGATGCTCACTTGGTGCCATGTTTTATCTCACGTTCATGAGATAACATGCTGTACACCCAACGCACATTAATTAAAATCACCCACGAATTGAGTATGATGCATTGCAATATTTTGCTTTGCAAATGAATATTAATGATTTTCTTCCGAATTGCATTTTGTCCCGATGCTCGCAACACAAAGATATTGCATCCGTCAATGTAGAAGACGGTCGAATACATTTTTTTTCTCAAGTATACGGACTGTGAACTCGCATGGTCTACGCGTCATTTGTTCGGATGAAAATTAGTGAAATAATTTCTGAATAAATATAACTGGTGAAAAAAAATCTCGAAGCTCATTTTCTCGTCTTTTGTTGATGCGTCCATAGAACGACGAGTACGCTGCATTCTTTCACGCGTCAAAAATGTATAATCTGCTCAGCGGGCTGCGAAACTTTGAAAAATATAAACGCGTATATCTCAGTTCAGCTCTCGCGCTGTGCTCATTATTTTCACGATAAGCTCGCTTATGCGAGACTATGAGTATTCACGGTTTTTTTTGTTGAATTAGCCCAGACTCGGTCACTTTCTGCAATCGGGTTAACTATACTCTTTTCTTATGCATCTCGCAGGTTTTTTCACCTCCGAGGATTTTCCGATTTAAAAATGAGCATAGTTTTTTTTGGCATTGTTTTGACCGAAATCAAATTAAACTTTCTACATGTCACTATATTCATGTATTTTTTTCTTTTGGCGCATGCCCCTCTTGACCACTAAGCTCATATTTCCAAACTCCAAACGCTCTTGGCTAAAAAAGCACCGCGAGCGGCATCCCTCCCATTATTTTACGAAATGCCGACTTCGTTAGCACTCGTTGCCCTCGCGCGTTTCTGTTGATGGTTCTTTCTTTTGCATTGTAGAGAGCCAGAGGAAAAACAAAACAAAACATAAAAATAAAACAAAACGGACCGGCAACGGTAAAGCGAACTGGAACGAAATCGAAAACAAAGCTCTGCGGGGGTAGAAAATCGTAAAAATGTTTGGGAACAGCAGGTAGGGTGACTCTTGACCTCCTTTTTTATGCCCTTATTTTGCTTTTTACATCTGCCTTTCCTCATGAGCAAAGAATACGAGAGCTTTGAGATCCTGCCTCGGTGGCTCGAATCGTTTGCCTTTGAAACGAGACAGGATTAGAGAATGAAAAGAATGATTTGATTTGAATTTTACTTGATAAAAATTCGCTCGATCCAAACGCCCCGAACAGTCCAAAAACAAATTATGAGCGCCATAAATCTTCACTACGCGACATAAAATAAGAAAAATAAAAGAGAGAAATTGTAGCAACGTCCTTGCAGCCGCAGAATGTACGTAATACTTGATAAAACTTTTAAATCCAAGTTTACGGAATGATTTGGCGATTAGTGTTCTGTGCGTTATAATTGCACGACTCATTGCGAAATCCAACATCTCTCTCTCTCTCTCTCTCTCTCTCTCTCTCTCTCTCTCTCTTTCACGCTCGTTCGCTTCTTATTCTCGCAATATCATGCGTACGCGTATATATCTTATGCACGATTTATATGCGGGACATTAAGCGACGCGCTCAACTCATTTTTGCGCTCGTTTCATGGCTTGCCATTATATACGTTCGTTGTACGTGCTAAGCTTTTTTCTTCAATGAGCGCGTTGGTACGTGCCTGCATAAAAATTTTTCCAACGAAACAGATTATCTATAAGTTTTAATTACCGTCTCGATCGCGATATCGCGTGACGCTAAATGCTACCCGCTTTATCCAATCGATGCCTTCATTGTAACAGCCACAACAAATTGTTGCTGTCAAAATCTGTCTCGTCATTGCGTGAATATAACTAGATTGTGTAATGCAACGTACAACAATTGTTACTTGAAATTTTTGCTCTACCTCGTGGGGGCTGACTTTTTAATTTAGTCCAGAGAGATTGTTCGATACTATCGAATCGTTGCTCCAAAAATATTTCAAGATATGGATAAATGGATGGGTAAAGTGGCCGTCGTAACTGGCGCTTCAACTGGAATTGGCCTATATACAGCAAAGTCATTACTCGAACATGGAATGATCGTAGTTGGATTAGCCAGGCGAAAAGATAAGATGGAGGTCAATTAAATTATTATAGATCCTTATTCTTTATTGTTTGAATCGTGCACAGATGAGCCATTTTACAATATGCATTATAAATATATTTATAATAATTCTTTTGCAGGAATCAATAAAACACTTTGGTTGTGCTACAGGTCAATTCTACGCCTTCGCTTGCGACATAACGGAAGAAGACCAAGTTATTGCGGTTTTCGATGAAATCAAAAGCAGCTTTGGAGGTGTTCATGTTCTCGTCAATAACGCTGGAATGATGTCCATTGGTCCGATGTCAGGTATCGATGCGTTCAATTTTCTTAGCATAACAGATAAGTTAATATGTGTACGATTCGTATTTTCGCAGATCATGACAGCAAAATTATTCAGCAAGTGATCGATGTAAATATTAAGGGATTGCTGTTTTGCACGAGACAAGCTGTCCATATCATGAAACACGAGAACGAAGGACATATTATTCACGTTGGCAGGTGGGGTATTGAAAATTTTTATTGTTCGATATACAAGCTGATTCTTAACTTCTTCTAGTTCCTTGGGTCATAAGGTTTTGAACGTCAAGGGCCTGTTTTTTAATGTTTACCCAGCGACCAAATTTGCGGTTCGCGCCCTTGCCGAGACTTTACAGAATGAAATAAGCGACACGAAAATTCGCGTCACGGTAAGGATATATGTACGTATTTTAGTACCGCACAATAATCGCCTCAAATGAAATGTGACGTGCTTGTTTGCAGCACGTAAGCCCTGGCGTTGTGAAAACGGATTTTTTCCAAGTTGCTGGGGTAAGCTCAGCTTTTCTCGAGCATAACGCTGCTCTGAATTCGGAAGATGTGGCAGAAGCTATTATTTTCGCCTTGAGCAGAAAGCCATACGTTCACATTCAGGAATTAACCGTGCGTCATTTAGACGATCATTACAGATGAAAATGCATTACGCAAACGTGCTTCAACTACTGGGCATTTTTTTCAATTTTTTGAAAAAAAATTTAATGACATCTGAATAAATGAATCCAATTTACCCGAATTCTGTGTAGCACTAATTGTGTTTATGTTTTTTACTAAAGTCATACATAATAACTAGCTGCAAAGGTAAGTTACCGCATCGAGGTGCAAAAAAAAACATCTTCAATATTATCATCATGTTTAAAATGAGATGTAAACAGCTGTACAGATGTTGCAGCAAAAAGCTATTACTCTTACAGAGACGTGATTTTTACCTTAACGAGCTAAATTATGTATATACATATATATAACTTTTTAAGCTTTCAAGTTAAATCGCTTAGTGAGCATTTTAAATCTGCGTTTGCGGCTTTTTAATTACATTTCATTTCATTTTATCGGAAACGAATAAATCATTGAAATGTAAAATAGGCCGCAAATTATGAAAAGTATGAATTCGCAAACTCGAGCGTCTCTAAGGAATCTCGCAATTAGAAAAAATGTAGCTTCTTTCACTGGCGTTACTAATAAAAGTGTTGAATGACAATTTGTCGATTTAATAGGCGACGATGGCTCGCTATTTATTCCATCAAGATTGTTGACGTCGCGATTATTTGATTATCGTCATCGTAAAGTTTGCTACAATGAAAATTAATACAGACAACATTTCGAGTGTATAGTAAAACGAGTAAAATTAACCCGAGCATCGGTATACTGTCAATATTCATCAGAATAAAGAGTACAAACGAAAGTACAGAGCTTGTAGATCAGTACTTTCGAGGAAATAGACTTTAACTATTCGTTTTTCTCTTTCTATAGATACATAAGTAGCATGCAAAAGAGTGAGAGAGACAGAATTCAAACTTCCATGAGCTTTTCTCTCCGAGCTTGCAGACATTAATTTCGTGAAAGTCTTGCTCTTTCTCGCAATTTCTCACTCGTTTCCTCCTTCTCTTTCTTAGTGATGCTTCAGTTCATTAGATTTCCTTATTTGGTCCAAGTTTGTGTATAGTGATATGTGTAGAAGTAAAAGGTAGGCGAAAGTTTGACATAGTTTTTTAGTTTTCTTTCCTTTTCCATATATTTTTAAATATTAAATATTGATGAAGCAAGAACATATTCAAACGAAAAATAAAGTTACTTATTGCTTCCATGTAACCTTTTTCTCTTGCTTCTTCAATTATAACAATATTGTGTTATTTAAACGAGGTATTCAATCAGAATTTTTGGAAATCGTCCAACTTTTTACAATACATACCTCATTAATTTTATTTTATAGTAGAACCTCGATAGTACGAATTTCAAGAGAACGGATGTAAATTTCATCTTAAAGAGGTTTTCGTCTTATCGTTAGTTCATATTTAAGAGGTGTGTATGAATAATTAAAATTCATATTAACAAGGTAAAATAAATGAAATTCATTTATATACAAAAAATGTATTTGTTTAGCTTGAATTATTTACTAAAATAGTTAGTAATATTTTTCTGAATCAAATCTAAATGAATATTATAAGAATTCTCACCACCATCACCATCGTCATCATCATCAATATTGCCTCGTTCTACAATACAAATCTATACGTAGATTTTTTAAATTACCACCAAATTTTGCAGCTTGTTTTCTTTTTCTATTTACATTAGAACTTTTTGATATATCGTTCAAAATCACTGATTTATTTTATAAAATTATTGACATAGTACTAGAACCACCACTGAGAACTAATTTTAATATATCATAATAATGAGTTTGAGTATACGTAAACAATGATAAAATTTTCCTCGTATTGCGCAGATTTTTAAACATTTAAATTCGTTCTAGGGAGGTTTAATTATTACATGTAAGAATTCGTATTAGAGAGGTTTTTCGACGGGGAATATGGTCTTGAGTTCGTATTATAGAGAGATTCGTCTCATAGAGGTTAGTGCTAACGAGGTTCTACTGTATATGTATTATACGTGAAAAAGCTTTATCGTATAATTATAAAATTATATAAAATTGAGTTCCACCAGTACATTGAAAAACGCAATATTTGATTCCATGACTCTAATCCAAATGTAAGTATAAAGAGAAATAAATTGGAAAATGGCGAGACACAATTTTTCTATTTTACCAATATTTTCGAAATTATTTTAAAGGTATTGTTGCCTCAATCAAAAAAAAAAAAAATAATAAAAATGTATTTACAAGCAGACCACTTTGGATCTGGGTAACGAATCTTGCCCGAAATTTTTTTGAGGTCTCTAGTACATAATAATAAAGCTCCCTTAGTTTGATCCCACGGGTCTTGAGGCCTATTTTTGAGAGCGTTTTCTATTTTATTTAAAAATTTTTGCCATTTTTTATGTCCAGATACAAGCACTTAAACAAAAAATGCCAAAAATAAAAAGTTGTAAAATGTTTCAAAGAGTACGCTTAATTTTTTTCAGAATTCTTGGGATCATTGATCACTTAATTAGAGAGGCCCAAATTTAATGCTTTATTTATAGATTTTAGAACTGCTTAAAAAGAGTGGTAGATGGTCCCAAAACTTCTGAAACATTTAGGCAAATTCTTTGAAAAATTTTACAATTAGTTTTTCTTGGCCTGTTTTTGTTCAAGTGCTTGTATCTAGCAATAGAAAATGGCAAAGATTTTTAAATAAAATAGAAAACGCTCTCAAAAATAGGCCTCAAGGCCCATAGGCTCAAACTGAGCATATCGGAAGCTTCATTATTATGTACCAGGCGACCACAAAATTTTTTGTTGAAGATTTGTCACCCAGAGCTGAAACAGTCTCCTTAGTTAGAATAAAATTATACTTTGCTAATGAGAAAATCGGTATTATAATGCATCATATTGAAAACCAAACGTGCGAAATAAACGAGTAAAACGATAAGTACGAGCGAAAAAAAGTAGCGATTGCAAGAGAAGAAAGCTGCGTATTGAATAGGCGGGGGTAGTCAGGCGCTTGCGCGGACGTCAGCGCACAGGAGCACGTGTGCCAGTAGAGAGGAGCTTTTACCGGTGTACGAGTCCTACCTGGGAACGGTGTTTTGGCAAGCGTCAGTAGCTCCGTGCGCGAGCTGCCGCGCGCGTCTCACTGGAGCAGCTCTCGCTTTGGCCGCCTCGATGCGTCGCCGTACTTGTAGTAGTCAAAATCCATGTCTTAGTTTACTTTTATGTTAAAATTCGCGAAGGGTAGTGATCGTACGTAAGCTGTACTTCAACCATGACGACAAGGATACTATATATTATGTAATAAACGATTAGTTAAATTTTACTGATTATATTTATAAAATAATTCATTGAGAGTTATTTAAATCGCTCGTTCTCAGGAGCTCTAGAACTTGACTTATTTGACATAAAACAACAATGAAGTTTGACTAAGAAATACAAATTAAATATAGTTGTTAAATTTATACGCAAAACGACGTAGCAACAGCAGCTGAAAAAAAGCGTCACAGCAAAGTTTGAACTCCAAGTACTGACGTTAGGTCACGGGTAAAATTCAAAAGTAACTTACAAGTTCTCGTCTTTTTCGCGCGCTTACTTCGCTGCCCCGTCAAGCTGTGAAATTTAATCCTCACGCTATAGGCTAGGTAAGTACTTGATAAGACATTCGCTCGTGAGCAAAATGACCGAGTATTGCATATATACTATAAAGAGGGTAAAAATAATTGAATGAATATTAATAAGATGAAAATTGCATTGTAAGGTTGAGCGAACTAGGGATGAGTGATTCCTAATGAACTTTCTGCATCGATTAATTTTGCTCGTATGCGTGCACTCCAGTAAAATACTTTTCGCGAAATTGATTTAAAACTCAGTCTGGCTCGACAAGCGCTCACCGGTTAATGAATATTGTAGAACGGACGAGGAAATTCAGCTCGTCGCAAAAATGAATATAAATTATTTTTCAATGGAAAAAAATTTTTTTTAACGTGCTTGTAATTGTTGAGGCTTGACGCACGATGTGTCCTGAAAATGTATTTTCAGGAGCTGTCATCAAGTAAAAGTTAAATTTTGTCTCTACGCTAAAGTTTTTTGATATAACTTTACTCCTATCATAATTTCGTTAAGCTAATCGGAAAAATGAAGAATGGAAATCATTCTCGAACAGCAAACCTACTAGATGCAGAAAGATAAATATATAATATCTTGTCGTCACAGGTTGGAAGACGAAGCTCGACTCGAGCACAAGGTTATTTGTTACCTTCTTTCACTTTAAAAATGTGCCAATTGACATGCTAGATCCAAGAACTGTGTAGTTGAAACATCTAGTAACTACTACACAGTATCTAGTAGTTATCAATAGTAGCTAGTTGAAACACGTACTTTTGATCTATTAACAATCTAGTAACAACATGTAAACAAAAAAAAACGTCGAAAAAATGTAATGAAGAAAACGACTGTGCAACTACTTGTGTGCGCGTATAATATACGTACATCTGCGCTGTGATGTAAAGAGTTCATGTAGAGTTCAATATTTTACGTGTGATAGGTATAACAAGCTAAAAACGAGATAGATTTCAGCCGGCAAATTGGCGAATGTGCGGGAGTCGTCGTCTTATCAGATGGTGAGTATACGTTCATGTCATTATCATTACTTGTCGAGAGCGGGTATTGAAACATCAAACCTCGTATGAAGCGATAGTTGTGAGCAGACAACAATATTTAGCCTCTGATTTTCAAACCTTGGCAAAATTTCATCTGCTCTCAGAAAATATTCAGCTATTAAATAGGAATTGCAGTTGGTCCTGCACATACGAAAATAATAGAGAAAAGACATATCGTGATCTGGTATCGATCTGTTTGTTCATGATTTTTGGTGTTGTCTCTTTAGGGGCTATAGAGAAATGATTTTGTTCAAGTTGTCAATAATACAATTTTCAAAGTTTAATAAGATTTCATCGTCAATGGTGATTAAAAAAAAAAACAACGATTCATTTTGAAGCATTTTAATGGAATGTAATGAAATCAGGGTGATATTGAAGGAGGAAAAGAAGTGCGCCGAGTCGTATTTGGAAAGCAGCTGTGAGCGCGTATAACGTATAAAATTTTTATATGCAAAAATTGCAAAGTAAACTGCTCGCAAGTCCTTTGGG